TATTCCCCTTTATTGTACTCCTTCTTCCCTTTTGCTATTTTTTCTGAATGTTTTGTATTCTTTGAGTCATATGATTATTTTCTCTATTTCAATATCCTTTATTATTTTGTTGCCATTTATCTTTAAGGGCTTTTTGAATCACTTTTAGTCTTTGTAAAAGAATAGGCAATTTTTCTTCAGAGGTCATGCACCACCAGCTTTTTACTGACTTAGCTAATTTTTCTATCTAGGAAGGAGTTTCCCTAAGCCAAATAGTTTTTCCTTATATCAAACTTTAGTCTCAGTAGTTCCTCGTTTAGGGTTAAAGTCATAAACTCCTGTAAAAGGCAGCAGGGCATCTATTGCATGCTATCTTTTCCTTTTGGGGGAAACCAAGCCTCATTATTAATCACAAATACAGGTCCAAAAGAGGTCATAGTCATAGGAGGAAGTCATCTATCTTATTACTTTCATTTTGTTTCAGTAACATAATAATTCTGCTAAAGGCAGAGATTTCCCCGGCTTAGTTTCCCATTCCATCATCAGGTTGGTTATCAGAATACTTAAAGAAGAGAATGTTATACAAATGACAAAAACCAGGAGTAACTGGGGAAGGGATGTCCACCAAAAGAGCCGTGGTCATCGGCTTTCGGCTGGAACTTTTTCAAACAGCACCCTTGTCAAGAACCACGGAATTCTTGGAGCCAGCAGGGTTGTCGATTCATGTTTTAAATTTCTACTCATTAAAACCTCCCTGCCATATTTAAAAAGTCTTCCCCAGGTGTTTGACATTATTTCCTGGGCTGGTGGAACCTGTAGCATTCAGAAGCAATTCTGGACTTCTGGACCACTTGAAGACTATACTCACCAACCATTGTCGCCTCTTTCAAGCATATATTGCTTCTCTTTGATGGAAGAAAACCTCTGCGTTGAGAACTCACAGCAGCCCTCCACACAAGTAGACTCAGCTACTTTACATAGTTTAGCAATGCCAGGAAGCACGCCGCCTCTGCCGAACCCTACATCTAAACAATATTACTGATGAAATGACTTGGGAAGAAGGAATACTGAAAGGGAGGGGATGTAACAGCAATCACATAGTCTGCTGCTGTGAATGAAGATCTCTCACATTTGTGTTGAAGGATTTGCTCTCTAGGAGAGCAGGGACCAACTCACACTGTATTTTTTGTTCCTCTTGTATGATTTATATCTGTTTCCCCTTTCTTTTATTGATGTTACCATTCTAGCTATTAGAGTTGGTACCTTTAAGTGGTAGGATCGTGAAAAACTGAGGTTAGAGGTCCTATATGATCTAGTTCCTTTCATTCATACTGTCAAAATTTACTATATAGTTACAATATACCGGGTACTGTGCTCGATTCAAGATTAACTGCACGGATGTGTGAAATGCTGTATAAAAACCTATAATGTCAAATGATGATTGATAGGTGAGTGAAAATATGACAATGAGGGGCTGAAGAGATGGCTCAGCAGTTAAGAACATTGACTGCTCTTGCAGAAGACCTAGGTTCAATTCCCAGCACCCACATGGCGGCTATGAACCATCCTTAACTCCAGTTCCAGGGGAATCCGAAGCCCTCTTCTGACCTCTGCGGCATTACATGACATGGGTACACTCACATACATGCAGGCAATACACTCATACACATAAAATAAAAATAAAATAAAATATGACAATGAGACCATGCTCAGTGATTAAGAGCACCGGCTGCTCTTGCATAGGACTTGGGTTATATTTCAACACCCACATGGGGTCTGACTACCATTCATAACACAGGTGTGGAAGATACGACATCCTCTTCTGCCCTCAAAGGGCACTCCATGCAGGTATTACGCTTACATACATGCAAGCGAAATTTATGTATGTAAAATAAAAATAAATAAAAGTTTCAAAAGAAACACTTCCTGCGGTGGTGGTATGTAAGCTGTAAGCTGAGGATGACTAGGAGTTGGCTCAGCCAAGAAAGTCAGGGAATAATCAAAACTGAGAAGTGGGGTAGTGCAGCAGATGTGGAGTTCTGCACTGCAGCATGAGGCTGTTCTCCACCTATTTTTCCTGTAGTGAATTTTAGGCAGAGTCAGCTAAAGAAATAACTTATTTAAGTAATGTCTCATCATTCATTAGATTTGCCACCAGTCCTCCTGCTTCATGATACCAAAACTGTATGTTTTTTACCTCAAAAATATGAAGTAGAATATTAGTTTTGTCTGCTGACAATAAATAGACAATTAAATACCAATTCTGTGAAGGAGATATGTACCCGCAAAAGCACTTGCGCTCAATGAATTAAAAATGAATATTCTGTCATATATGTTAAGTCTTATCCGGGTCAGCATTTATATCCAGATGTCCCTTGGTGCAAGTTCATCTGCTGGAGTGTAGTCACTATATCTAGAGTCTGCTGGGGGGGGGCTATGAGGGTCTGGGGGGGGTTCCAAATTTGTTTAAGATGTATTATATGAAATGCACAAAAACTCAATAAAAATCAGAGGAAAAAAAATGATTAATTTTTAAAACTTGGAGAAAAATGGTAAGAAAATAATTAGCAGGACATATTTTGACAGCTTCAAAGAGAAGATAGAAGCATTATTAAGTAAGCTAACTAACCTGAACTCTATATCCTACCTGCCTGCTTCATCCCTCTGAACCACAGCTCCTGCTGTCCCTCCTCCTCTGTTCATTGCTCCTTTCCTCTACCCTCTAAGAAGAAAGGTCAGGAACCTCATTCTGGGTCAGCAGAGGAGACAGTTATAGATTTTTTAAAAACTGCTGGTGGTATATTGGACTGCACCCCAAGAGCTGTCAGCACAGGCTGAGGTGGGTATAGGCTCATCAATTTCATGGGAATGGTAGAGGAAACTGAGGAGATAAAGCTACAATTTGTGGAAATTTTTTCCATAATTTCTGTCCTCTGTGTCACTGCTAATTATATTTCAATTTTAAAACTAATTTCAGTGGGGTTTTCTGTACTATTTTCAATATCAAGCAGGCATGTAGAGGGGAGACATTCAACTGATATTAAATAGCTCTGTTTTGAGGGTACTATTGATTTAGTGGTCCTCCTCTGTCTCTAGGAGTCCAGGAAAATCCAGCCATAACAAGGTAAATACTGAAATTTTATCAGGTACTTAGAAATATATTGGGTAAGAGCTATCTAGTGTTACACAATGATCAGGCACTGAAAGAACTATTAGGTAAGGTTTGATTACTGTTATAAATGACAGCTGGTGTCACCACATATAAAAGCTGTTGTGTGCATAAGGCAAGCAGTCAATAAATATCTGAGTCAGAAACAAGAGAATCTCATAACAGACTGCCAAGGCATTGGCTCTGTATCTGGATACAAAAAGCCAACATACACATTTGCCTAAATAAGAAACAGAGCCCTTACCTCCAAAGGCAAAAGACACAGATTCCCGACTACACCAAATACCCTGGAATTCTTTGGAGGATGAAGAAGTTCTAAGTGTGAAGGAAAAGAGGTTATTCTCTTGGCCGGATGGGATGGAGATTTGTGTGTAGCCATCTATATGATCAAGGTGCAAAGGCTCCTCTAGTCGCTAGCATTGTTAATCCTCTCCTGGAGGGAGATGGATACAGATAATGGCTAAGAATTCAGCATGGGGATCCTAGGGAAGCAAGAGACACAATCCCTCAGCATGCCTCCCATCCACTCTACATGGGAAAGTCAGATGAATCCAGTAAATCAGGTTTTTATATCGCTTCTCCTGAACTGGTCCACTCTATAAGATAAATGCAGGAGGAATTTGGAGAAAGAGGTACAGGCAGGGCTTGTCAAAGATGACCAACCATTTAGCCTCTTTGTCACTGGAGCAACAGAAAATCACAGATTGGTCCTCAGGGAGGTTTGGCAGTGTCATCCTCCCAGGCGACATGACCTCCTCTGAAAATGCTGCTCCTGGAAAAGCGAATTTTAATGAATCCTCTCAGGCATCTCCCCTGGCCTGCCATTTCTGCATACTTCACACATTAAATTAACTGTGGGTTCTGAGGATGAGTTTCCTCCCACACCATGGACTTGCTCAGGAGCTTACTGACTAAAGAGATCCTAGAAACTGACCCAAGCATCATTGGACCTCTGTGCAGCCTCTGTCATGTTACAAAGGGTGTGTAGTGGCCTCTGTGAGGCCTCTACTCCCC